CGTGGGTCTCCTGGCGGCTCTGCAGGGTAAGGGATGAGTCCCTCTGTCACCCACACACAGAGAACTCGCCTCAGTTTCCTGTCCTTGACTTCATCTGTGTGTAAGGCAGTCAGGACCAATGAACACACAAAGTCCACACTGTGATAATGTACTTTCAGAGTTAAATGTGCAAGACACACTGAAAATGATCAGACCACTTTTTTAAAGCCACTTTCAAAGGCTTTAAACACTTCATACCTCCAGTATTGGAAGTAAGGCACAGTAAAAATAAGTGGCATAGAAAATCATTTAAAAGTGTTCATAATTTAAAATAGCAGGCCAGCCACGTGCGGTGGCACATGCCCATGATCCCAGCAATCTGGGGGCTGAGACAGGAGGTTTGCAAATGTAAGCCTGGGCAACTTAGCAAGATCTTGTCTCGAAAGCAAAAAAAAAAAAAAAAAAGGAGCTAGTGATATAGTTCAATGTGAAAGTCATGAGTTCATGTCCCAGAACCACAAAATAAAGTAAAATAAAATATTGGGGCAAAAAGCTACAAAGAACTTGACACATGTAGAAGTACTATATATCTCAGGGATAGACAGACTGGAGAGACACCTGTGCTTCAGAACTTCCAAGAAACCAGAGAGACCAGGAGGGATGTTCAGGTGGACTCTGTAATGGTGCAGCATCCCTCCCACTGGAAATGCTCAAAGCCAGGCTGGGCCCTGAACTAGGGGGAGGTCCCTGTTTATACAATTTGTGGCATCAGTAAGTAGAGATACAGAAGCGAAACAAGGGCAGTTAGTCCTGCCAGCAGCGAACCGAACCATATCTTAGCCAAAAGAAAACATCATGTGCATCTCAGGATGTTAGGATGCTGCGAGGCTTGTTTATAACCGCATTTGTTAGTTCTACCAAGCATGGTACCCAGTATCACCACCCTAAGGGAGGAGATTCCCAGGAGAGAACTGCTTGAGGTATCTCTCACATCAGTAAGAAAAGCACAGGAGCCAGGCATGGTTGCACATGCCTGTAATCCCAGCACTT